TTTTATTTTGGTGGGAAGGTGGAGAATTCATTTGCATTTCCATACACAAGCATTGTTATCAGTTATGTACAGTTTAGCTTTGCGAAATAACTCCCATAAAGTCAGAATCCAACTCAGAAAAGTGTACTAAAGACCCACTGGTTCAGAGTTTTCAGTTGAAGCAGAATTTTCCTGTATAGTCTTCTTTCTGCTTCTAAGGAAAATTAATCTCAAGAGACTACTCTTATCACAAAGAAAGGCTAATCTTATTAGCTTTGGCTTATGTACACAGGTGTACAAAGACAGTTAATTACCAGCTAGGTCTTATATTAGTGTTTCTAGAAGTTTTCATAAGGAACTAAAAAATGAATTTGAGAACTTTGAAAAATGCAAAGGAGTTTGGAGACAAAGAATACCTAGTATGCTGCTGGTTTAGGAAAAAGTCATTTCCCCTCTTGAGACATACAGTTGTAGCTGAATTTCTCCCTGTGGTGGGAGCTGTTTCACACACCATATTTCTAGCTGACATCAGAGCTCATGTCTACATAATAGCTTCTATTAGCCATATGCATCCTTTATACAACTGCTCAATGTGACAAACATGAATTTGTTCTTAATAGACACAAAGATGCCACTTTCCTACAGTACAAGCAAATAAGAAAAAAGATCATGTAAGCTTAAATTTATGCTTAGTAACCTCTGTTTCTTTATTCCATTTTATTTAGTAAATATCAAGACATCCAGTATCCATTAATTAACTCAATATTAGCCCAAAGTTTTAAGTTATCTAAGCATCTTGTAAATTACCTTCAAGCTGACAAACTCTAAAGCATAAGGTTGAAATGCAAATTCATCATCAAAGTGGTTTAATTTATATTTGTGATAATCTTAAATATGTAGGAACATTAGTTCCTTTGATCAACAAATCTGTATTGGCTTAGGAAGATCTCGTCAAAGTAAAATTAAAATCTATGCTTTAGTTATACTTAACACTGATAAATCAAATTATATAGCTTATTTTTATTAAAATAATTTGTTTGTCAATATATACTGAATCGTGAACCTACTTAAAATTTGAGTTAAAAATAGCTTTGTTGAAATATAATTTATATACCATAAAATTCACAGTGTTGAACATACCATTTAGTGGGTTTTGAGGTACATTTATAGAGTTGCACAAAAACCACCACAATCTAATTGTAGGACACTTCCAACACCTCTAAAAGAAACCCTATACCCATACCCAGTGGTCACTTCTATTATTCCTAAGTAACTGCTCATTTATTTTGTCTTCACTGATTTGCCCATTCTGGACATTCCATTTAAATGGAATCGGATTTCTTTCATTTACCATATTGCTTTTTAGATCATTATAGGTACTAGCCTGTATCGTAACTTCACTCATTTTTATTGCTTAGTAGTATTCCATTTTATGTACATGCCACATTTTGCTTATCTGTTCATCAGTTGATTGACATCTGGGTTATTTTCCCTTGGGAGCTATTACAAAAAAGGCTGCTCTGAACACTCATGTAGCATTTGTATGGGCTTTTGCTTTTATTTCTCACAGGTAGATGCCTAGGAGTATAATTTATGGGTCATAGGCAACTATGAGTAAGATTTGGAGAAAGTGGCAACCTATTTTACAAAGTAGTGAAACCATATTGCAACCTCACTGGCAATGTATGAGAATTTCAAACTCTCCACATCCTTGTTATCATCTATCTTATTAATTGTAGCTATTCTGATGGTTGTGAAATTTTACCTTATTGGGATTATGCTTTGCATTTCCCTCATGACTAATAATTTTGTGCTTAGTGACAATGTGGATGTATGGTTTAGAGGAATGTTTAAGACTTTTGTGAGTTGTTAATTGGATTGTATTTTTATTGTTGCATTGTAAGACTTCTTCATGTATTCTGGATACAAATCCCTTGTTGACCATATGGTTTGTGGGTATTTTCCCCTAACTTCATGGGTTGTCTTTTCATTTCATTTGAGTAGGTTCTGTTCAAGTATTTTTTCATTAAGCACATTTAATGCATTAAATTTGAATTTAGTATGTAGAAATGCAACCTATTTTTGTATGTTTATTTTGGATTTTATTTCTAACTGATTATATTTAAAGTATGCATGTGATGCTTTTATATATATATATATATATATATAATGAAATGATTGTTATAATAATTAGATCTCTAGAATTATTCATCCTAGATAATCACAGCTCTGTAGACTTTGGTACACTGACTTGTGTATCCTGTAACTTTACTGAGTTTGTTTATTAGTCCCAGCAATTCTTTTGGCTGGAACTAATATATAGTCATTAAATTTTGAAATAACTGGGGCAAGTGTTAAACTTACTGATTTGAATTCTGACTTGGAATATTTAATATTCGTACATTTATGTTATATTGCATTCATATATTAATATCAGAGATAAATTACAGATATGTTCCCATCCAGGGATATAATGGGTCTTGTTCTTTGTTCTTTATCTTTTAAAAAAGGTTGTGTAATATTTTATGTACTATCTTTGACTATTCTTGGAAATTTATTTCTAAACATCCTACAGATTTATTGCTATTGTAAGTGGCATTTTATTCTGTGGCATCCAGCTTTTGTTGCTAGGATGAAATACCTGACACCATAAATTAAAGGGTGAGGATTTTGTTTTTGACCCATGGTTTCGCAAGTTACAGCTTCGTGGTGACCAGCTGTAGTCACTCTCTCATCACCTATCCAGACACAACTAACAGTGTGCTTTACTAGTTTCCTTGGGGCCATGCCAAACAAGTTGACCATCAAGATTAACCATCACAATTGTATTTTTAGAAACATGATTTTTTGCCTAAAGAAATCTAATTACGTCTAAAATGTTTTATTTGTATATTTTCTGGATTTATAGTCATGCAATTATAGCTTCTGTGGGTGAAGGTTTTTTTCCTTTTCACATATTTTCTTTTTATACTGTACTTATAATGTCTCTGAAGATGTTAAATTTTTTTTGCAGAGTGTTTTTAATGTGCAATAGCATGTATATTACATGAAAAAATTTATTTTCATTAAAAACCAGTCTTTCATATTTAACTCTATTTTATATGTAATTTTTTAAAAATTAAAAACTACTGCTAAATTATATAAATTACCAACTGGTAGCCACTGATATGCTCTCATTTTTCACCTCCTTTATCATATAATCCATTCCATCAACAGACTAGGATTCCTAGTATTGAATTCTTTGTATTCTTGAACTACTACTGACTTGGCCATTGTCAGTTAATGCTGTAGGTGGGGTTCCATGGAAACAGGTTCTCAGATGGAGATTCCAGGGGACAGGAATTAGGAGAAACTGAACTATTAACCCACAGGGAACTCTGGAGTGGGTGGTACATTGGAGTTGCCCTGAGTTGAAGCAAAGCACACATCTATAACTGTGAAAGGGATTTCACCAGAGTCTGACTATGCTGGCATTCTATCTTCGAATCCTGGACTCCAGCACCATAAGAAATAAATATCTTTTATTTAGAAGCTACTCAACTGATGGTATTCTGTTATAGCAGCTAAATGGATTAAAAATCCTTATAGAAAAGCTTGGTTTGCTTTCTTATACCTCTTTGTAATAATATAATCCAGATTACTTTATAGATTCCAGGTTACTATTTTTTCTTTTCTTTTCTTTTCTTTTCTTTTCTTTTCTTTTCTTTTCTTTTCTTTTCCTTTCTTTCTTTCTTTCTTTCTTTCTTTCTTTCTTTCTTTCTTTCTTTCTTTCTTTCTTTCTTTCTTTCTTTCTTTCTTTCTTTCTTTCTTTCTTTCTTTCTTTCTTTCTTTCTTTCTTTCTTTCTTTCTTTTCCTTTTGCAGTGCTGAGGATTGAATCCAGGGCCTTAGCACTGAATTACATTCCCAGTCTATTATTTTTTATTTTGTGACAGAGCTTTGAAAAATCATTAAGTTGCCCAGGATGGGCTTGAACTTATAACCCTCCTGCCTCAGCCTCCTAGAATGCTGAGATTATAAACATGTACCATCATACTTAGAATAAATCACTATTCTTAAACAGCACATATTCTATTTAATCTAACATCATGCATGTTCTCTAAACATCAGACTCAGTAAAACTGAAATTCAAATAAAAACTATATTTCACTTGTCTATATGCAGAGTTAAAGGCTATGTACATATATCACCTAATCCTTACAAGGGTATGATTTCCATGCCCTAACGAACTCAATTATGGTAATGCTTAACTGGCTTAAAAACTGTCCATTTTTTTAGATTATTACTTTCTTTTTGAAGAAAACTTCCTGGGGAATGACTCCTTAGGCCACAGATAACTCAACTTGTTTTGCTGTCAAACATAAATAGCCAAAACTGAGAGCATAGTGTAATACTGTAAGAAATTCCAGGTTAGGCAAGATACAGGAAAAATAACAAACTCATTCATTAAAAACGAAATCCAGCGTAATGATAGAATTTAGCACCAATACATATGTAATATTCTTCCCAAACAAATGAATTAAGTCAAGCATGTAATTCCGAGAAATCATAAGGTTGCCAGAGAAACTATCAATACGCCAAATGTGCACAATCCTACCACATTCATGATCATGTTTCTCATTTAATAGTGGACACATATGTGAAAAAATACCCTCCACACATATACACAATGCATATTTTCTACAATACAATGTATACTTGGGTATAATAAAACAGTGCAATGATGTGTGGAACATTGGTGATTTGTGTGATTTGAGAAAAAACAACTATCATCTTTGAGGGAGTTGGAGAATTTGTAATATGTACCAGATACTAAATGATATTAATGATTTAAGTATAGTTATGATAAAATGAGAAAGAACATAATGTTTGAAGATAATATCAAACTAATAATGTATTTCGATTATTAGTCTGTGTTACATAAATTTTTGTTTATTTCATATCCTTTTTTGCTGTCATATATATGTATATTTAAAATTTTTATTTAGTATCTTCATTTCCTGTTGTCATATATGTTTGCAATCTTTAATAAAAAAAAACCAAATCAAAACATGCTCAACCCTCAGATTGGACTAAAGAATTTCTACATATGGACTGATAAAAGGTCAGTTATGTGTTGTTCATGAAAAGCACAGACTTTTACCCTCACCCTTTTTGGGCTTTAGATCTAAAATATCCCTGAAAATTCTCATGTGTTGAAGGTGATTGGAACATGGGAGCATTATACTCAGTAGATTCATCCATTGATCAGTTCTGAAGCTGAATGTATTGTGGAAAGTGGGGACTTACTGGAGGTAAGTCACTGGGGATGGACCTAGAAGGGTGTATTCTTGTACCCTGGCTGTTCCCTTAACTTCTTTCTTCCTGGCTGTTATGGGTTGAGCACCATTTCCTCTACCAAACCCCTCTGGGATTCTATTTCTCTCTTGGATTTATATGAGCATGGACTGAAACCATGAACCAAAATAAATCTTTTCTCCTTTAACTTGCAAATGTTGAGCATTTTATCCTAGCAGCCCAGAGTGACCAAGACAGATATTGGTACCAGAGAAGTGGGGTTGTTGCTAAGACTGTACCTGCCCATGGACTTTGGAACTTGTTTTTTGGGAGGTATTTAGAAATGTTTGGAGAAGTGAGTTAGAGAAGCCTTAGAATATTGTGGGAAGTCATTGATGTGCTATATTCAGAAGACCAGCATACTGATAGAAATACAGACAGTAAAGGCCAGGCAGGCTCAGGAGGTTTCAGTTTGGAACAAGAACTCCAGTAGTAATGGAACTAAAGGTAGAGTGTATTACACTCTAGCAGAAAATTTGTCTATTTTGCCCATCTTCCTTCAATTTGCATATGTTGGGTGTTTTGTCCCACTGGCAAAGAAATAACTAAAACAGCTTTTTGAAAAATCTTGAGCCATCTGTTTTTATTTAAGTACAATAGAAACAAAGCTTGGATAGATTTATTGATTTTAAACAGTGTAAAATGTAGTGAAGGGATTTTTTATATTGATAAATATTCTAACTCACAATGGAGATGAAGTATTTGATATTAAAATGCTCAGTGCAGAGATACAAGGTAAACTATATATTCCATGTTTTAAAAATGCCAAGTTATACTTATATGTGACTACCTTTTTCCAAAGTGCTGCTAATAAAAGGGTAGAATCTTTAGTGCTGTGTGTTCTTGGGGGAGAATCCTGTTTTGAACTTCAAATGGCTATTGCAGGAATCATCACACAACCCATGTTGAAAGGAACTTTTCTTTTTGTGCCTCCTGATCACTGTAGAGTGAAATTCTGCACAGATGTTTGAAGTTTTTAAAAGGCCAAAGTAAAGGATTAGTTTGAACAGCAAAGCAAGCACTCCCTCCTGAAGTGGAATTACTGGAGGAAACTGGAGACAACAAAGCCCTGGCCCTCAAGGTGCAAGACCACATGGGAAAAATAATACACTGTGAGGATTCTTTTGGTTGTGAGTGACAAATCCAATTTAGCAGAATTTTCCAGCTGTTTATCACTCTAATAAATCAGCCGAATTTTTCATGCTTAACATAGTTCAGATTCTCTTTTGTGGTTCTGAGGTTGACTGGGCCAAACTGGGTGATCTTTGCTTGCCAGACTTGTATGACTTTAGTTGTATTTGTGTTTCCATAAACTCGTAGTTACAGTAGTAGTGGTTCATTTATTAGAAGTCAGAATTCTCCAGAGAAACAGAATATGAGGCATGAGTATGTGTCTGGAGAGAGGTGGAGGAGGGCAGGGAGAGAGATTTTCAGGATTTGTCTCATATGATTATGGAAGCTAGGAAAACAAAAACTTGCAAGTTGGGGAGAAGCAGAACAACCCAAGAAAAGACCATGTTGCAGTCCAGGTCAGAAGTGTTTCTGATGGAGAAGCCCCTGTTGTTCATGGGAGGATAATCTTGTTATATTCAGGCCTTCAACTGATTAGATATGGTCCACCCACATTATGGATATTATTTTACTCAAAAGTTAAATACCAATCTTATCTACAAAGTAACTTCTCAGCAACCTCCAGACTTGTGTTTGACCTAATAATTGAGCAACATAGTCCAGCTGAGTTGACATCACATGGGGTGATGGCCCCAGTGGGTTGAATGCTTTACAACGGCAGTTAATGATTGACATGTTATGCACATGATTGGTGGTTAATTCTGGTATGGCTGGGAGCTGTGCCATTGACTGGGGAGAGCTTACACTGGAGGGCTTAGACCTGGCCTCTTCATAGACTTGAATTTCATGGACTCAATTAGTGGACTGGAATTCTCAGTGGCTGCATTTCCACAAGTGATGTCCCAGGAGTGAGCAACCAAGGAGACCTACCTCTTTAGTCAGAGGACAATTCCTCAGATGAACATGCCTCATCAGTATTGGTATTTAGTTTATCTTGGCCTTGCAATGCTCTCCTCCAGATCTGGATGCTAGAATCAATGGTGAATGCTCATTGCTGAACAGAACTGTTTGTTTTGAACTGTTTTTCAGGATTGAAGATAGGCAAGGGAGAGCTGAGGGGCAGAAAATACAGAGAGGACCCTTCCTTGTGGCAATAAGATAAATGTCCCAAAAATGATGTGTTTCTTTGTCTTTTAGGGCTACCTCTTGAGCCTACTTAATGTACGTATTGTACCAAAATGGCAAGGTTAGAGAAAGCATATCAGACTGATGCTGGAAAGCTCAGTTTGTCTTCTCATGGGAACTATTGTCTAGTGGAGGTACTGGTACCCTTTCCTTACTTAGCCTTATGTTTACTGTTCAATTCTTTTAAAGCTACGCAATATGTTGTGTTGGTATTCCTATATAGGATTTACATTTATTAAAGAGCTAAGGCAATCATAATCACTGTGTAAACTTTCATGTTAATTTCTTGGTTCTTTGTAAGGGAGGCACTAAAAAAGCTTCTAAAGTACTAGCTAACATTCCATATTTTAACCTGGATGCAAATATATATTTAAGGAAAAATAAAATACCCAGATAAGTCACCCTTGTATTAGTCAGCTGCTGTCATTGTGACAGAATACCCAAGGAAAACATCTCAGAGGAAAAGTTTATTTTGGCTCATGGTTGTAGAAGTTTCGGTTCATGGTGACTTGGCTCCATTGCTTCTGAGCCTAGTGGTGAAGGAGAACATCATGGTAGGGGGCATGTGGTGGCATAAACCAGCTTATCTTCATGGTGGGTAAGAGCAGAGAGAGATGCAAGAAGAGGCCAGGGACAAGGTACACCTTTCCAGCTTTACCCAGGAGGAGCAGGAGATGGTGTTGGAGAAGCAAGCCGGACTATCACACTCACTGGCCTACTTTCACCAGCTAGGCCTTATATCCTATGAACTACGAGCTCATCAGTGGAATAGTCTGGTGGTGAGGTTAGTGACCCCATGATCTAACTATTTTCTGAAAGCCCAAACTGTTAACACAGGAGCCTTTTGTGGGACATTGTAAAATCTAAATTAGAATACACTTCTCCTGGACAATACACATCACTATAAAAGATGATCACAAAACCTACCTGTAGAAATTTCAAGAGAAACTTCTTAGCTTAGTGACACAGAAAGATTTTCTATGGTAGCAGGGTTGCTCAAAGATTTTCTCCTTGTTGAATTATCCTTTTAAAAACATTTTGTGAGAAAAGCATCTGCTTCCACTAGATAATGAAGTCTACCACAAAGTTGCATGTAGCATTTCCTCTAGATCTTCAAATGAACTATCAAAGTTCCAATGCAACAAAATAAGCTTCTATCTAGCTCAGTGGTTTGGTGGCCTGCCTTGCAAGTGCAAGGACCCAAGTTAAAAAAAAAAAAAAAAAAAAAAAAAAAAGCTTCTATAGAGTTGTAAATATAACCATGTTATAGAAGTATATATGTACCCAATTCTGAGGGGAACTTATAGTAACTGCCTTAGGTAAGATTCTCCTAGAAGCATGATATATTATATTATTTATATAATATATACATATTACATGTCGGAGATTGAACCTAGGAACTTAATGCATGCTAGGAAAGCATTCAACCCTAAGCTACATTTCCAGTTCTATTTTCTTTTAAAATCTATTTTCTTCATGCATTTACTCACTTGTACTTTTACTTATATGCCTACATAGGGTGATACACATCTTCTAGAATATTCCAAGTAGAAGAAGGGTACGGTTAAGGGTCCCATGAAGGGACAAAGTTACTGGAACCTACCTAGTGTGGCCACTCCTCTGAGGAGGAGAAGCATGAGACAGTGTTGGAGAAGCAAGCACAGCCATTGGACTCTGACCTGTGTAGGTAAGGGTTTGGGGTTTTATCCTAAGGACAGAAGAGTCATGTATCAGTAAATACAAATGTGCCTTTATGTCTACGGATACATGATACTCACATGATGATGTACAGCTATTTCATAAAAGTCTTATTAAGCGACATTTAAGCCATGATGTTTTTCTGCCTTGAACAAAGTGAAGAGGATCAACATGTTTACATTTTTGTAAGTTTCTGTGGTTATTCCTTAATATAAACTCTTTGAACTGGAACAATTGTTATTACTACGTTAAGTGGTCATGTTTGTTCACTTGGAAATCATTCTGGTGTGAGACTGAGTTTGCCTCACCTTTGATGAGGTAGTGTCATCAAATGGCCATCAGTATCTTGGAAGCTGGCCATGATGGCCACACTTGTTAGTTTTGGTTTAAGGTGCAACATTATCTGTTGCCTCTAACATCTTTCATTTCCTGCCCACATCTGTTTTTCTTCTTTCTTTCACAGGGATTGATACTTGGAAGCCATATTTTCTGGAATACCTTCATAGTACTGTACTGGTTTAGAGGCCACCATGGAGAGGGCCCTGAGGTGAGATTTGGAAGGTGTGCAGGAAGCAAAAGCCATGATTCTTCTCACTGGAGTAGGTGCCAATGGCATGGGCTGTGGACAATCTTGCTTTTGCAGTGATCTCTTCAGGGAAGATCATCCCTAAATCGCATGCCTCCTTCTTAGTGCTGATTGTAAATGATGACCAACATTGATGGTTTCTTGCTATTCCTGACCTGGGTGGTGATAGCAACTATTTTATTCTCTGGAAACAAATCGAAGAGCTGGCAGTGGCCCTTCCTGAATATCCTCCAGCTTCTCCAATGTTTTGTAAATGCCTAAATCCCTGTTTAAATCCCCACCTACTTAAAATGCAACAGTGGCTTGTTTTCCTATATGACACTGGTTACTAATGGGGATATCTCACACACATTGGCTGGCTATGTGCTGACCTACATGTGTCATTTGCTTTTTTTTTTTGGTACCGGGGACTGAATTCAGGACCTTGTGCTTGCAAGGCAGGCGGTGGAATCACTGAGCTGAGCTAAATCATCTCCTGTCTTCTGCTTTTTACTTGAGGATTTCAAAGTAGTGTTTAAACATTAATTGATTTGCAAGTGCTCTTTAAAATTTAGGCATAATTATTTGATTAGAAAATAGGTTGAAAACATTTATCCAACTTACTCAAATTTTAACTGAAAAGTTAAATGTCTAAAACAGTATAAACCTGAGAGTATAGCATAATCAAAGACGTGAAAGGTCCCTGGCATTCTAGTTCCCATGTAGTGACACTGAAACAGCTGGTTATTCCTGAGGGTAGCCAGGGGGAGGGGAATGTCCTCTATATTATGGGATATCTAGCAGTACCTGGGCTCTGTGCACTAGACCCTGGTGGCAGCCTCTACCCCAGTTCTGACAAGCAAGACTTCTTTAGATATTGCCAAATGCCCACATGTCATGTTAACGATGCTCCACAAGACATTCCACTGTGTTCTGTCTGTGTGCCATCTCAATCATCTTCAAGCAAGTACCATAGTAATATGATCTCTAGCATGCTGGGGTCACTACCTTCTTTCTATGAGTAATGAGTTCCTTGCTTAATCTGCTAGCAAGTGACCCAATTTTAGATCCCCATCCTGAGGACCACCTCTGGTAACTGCCTTAAGTAAGATTCCCCGAGAAACAGGCCCTGAGACAGGGATTCATGAGCTAGTTTGCTTCCATTCTCTTCCCTCACCTCCCCATTCCTTTTCCTGTGTTTCCTGGGATCATCTTCCACATAAAGGTATGTCATCAAGCAACGTAACTTTGGGCAAGCAAAGCTGAGTCTTAATGGAGGACTCTGGAGACTAGCTTAAGACCTGTAGCTCAGGGTCACATCACCCAAATGGCAAAGGTGTTGGAGTGTTCATGGGTTGGCTTTCCATCAGTTTGGGAGTGGCTTCCAGGAGGTCAGATTCCAGGAAAGGTAGGTCTGCAGTTTGGGGAAGCAGAGTAGGTTTCGTGGAGACAGCTATAGGTGAAAGGGAAGATGGTGATTGTCACCACATGCTCTAAAATGGGAAGGCTGCTAGGTGTGTTGGCACATGCCTGAGACCCCAGAATTCAGGAGGCTGAGGCAGGAGGGTCACCA